TACCCTTAAAATGTTCATATAATGGTAGGCACTGTTCTTGTTGGGGTCATATTGCGAAAAAAAACATTAAACAATATGGTTACGGCCGATCTACATTGCGGTAAAAATAACTTTATCACCATGACCTTGAAAATAATGTTTCGGGGTATTAGCTACGCGTACAGCCTACATAATAAGAAAAAAAAATTGACTTTATGTTACATGCGCACACTGAAGACAGTTATATAATTAATTTATAATAATTAATACGGTAATGCAAAATGCATGTAAGGTAGATGTTTCATTTCTGAGATGTACCATCAAGATTATGCGTCGTAAAAAGATAAAAGATCCTACTCAGACTGAGTACACATCTTATAAAACCCATTCCGTTCTGTTTGTGGTTGCGTTGCTAGGGTATCATTTCTTATAGTGAAAAAACGATGTATGTCCACCCTTCTTTCTTTCCTTTGCAGCCGTGTAATTAATACAGGGGTCATAATGTGGCATGACGGTGGTAAAGAGAACCAGCTTCTTCATGGAACAGAGTGCTCTTGATAAGCTAATAGTTTCTTAGACACTCCAGAAATTCTTAGCATTTTATTGAACCCGAAGGCTTATTCTCGTGTTTACAAGAGCCAGCCATGGTCCTTATTTTGAGGCACATGAATTAATTTCACCTCCTTTCATCATATTTCTTAAAGATCCATTTTAATATTAGTCTACCATCTACTCCTACGACTTCTTAGTGGTCTCTTTCCTTCAGGGCTTCAAAGCTTTTTATGCATTTGTCTTCACTCTTATGCGTGCTAGAAGTTCCACCCATCTCATCAATCTTGATTTAACAGAGTAAGTTCAAAGACAAACATATTCTCAATCTGAAAAGTGCGACATGTTGTGTAATTACGAAGATAATAATAGAATTGTATTTTTAATAACTGAATGGCATAAGCGATAATGACAAGTTGGCTAACGTGATAAAAGTTATTACAAGCATTCGGGGGGTGATCATTTCGAATCTTGGCAGAGACATCGGATATCCTGGCATTCTACAGCGTCTCCAGATATATGCAAGGTTAGAACCTGAAATCAGGACACCTCCAGTCCCATCCACATGCTTTGCAATTCAGTAATCACTGATCACCTTACCTTCGACCTGCAATCTGGGCTACTTGAATAATTCACAGATAAATAAATAAATACCAGTTAAATCTGCCAAATTACAAGAAACGAATTCAAGATAAATTTGTAGTACATAATTACGATTTTATTTCAATACACTGCTAGTTTCTAATCCCGAAAGTGCCAAGTATCGGAATTGTCGATCCTTGCAAATATTGTTATATCTGACGGCATGTGACATCATCTGTCATTTTACTTGAACTTATAGTCAAAATCCGATCACAGTGACCGTGCGGTCTAAGGCATTAACTGTCTTCGCTCGTTTGAACGCTGGGATCGTGGGTTCTAATCCAACTCAAGTAATGGATGTCTGTATGCGTTTATTCTGTGTTTGTATTATTCTCTGTTTAGGTAGTGGCCTTGCGACGTTCTGATTTCCCACCCAGGGAGTCCTCCCGACTGTGTATAGGATTAACAAACTTAAATAGTGGCCAAGGTGCAACAAAGGGCTGTAGAACCACAGACAGATAGACAGATATACGATGGGGTACCCAAAAGAAACCGAACTAATTTTTTTGTGGGCAGAGCTTTTATAGTACCGCGTTTTGCCGCTATGAGCGCATAGAGCTAACATTCCTGAGTCGATAAGCCGACTACCGTTGCTTCAGAAGGTAAGGACTAGTTTCGGCAGAGTTTATAGTGACAACTGTTTTGTGTGATCGTCGTTTTTGCAATGGCCCGAACACATGAAAATGTTGAAAAAATTCGTGAAATCATCAAGGAAGATTGACGACGGACCATTGAAGAAATTGTGGAGCTGTCGGGAGTGACTTGGAGCTCAGTTCAGCGAATTTTGACAGAAGATTTGGGAATGAAAAGGGTGGCTGCGAAATTCGTGCCACGACTGCTGAACAAAAACAAGGTCGCGTGGAAGCATGCTGTGCTTTGAAAGAAGAGTCCCAAAATGATCAAAACATTTTTCAGCGTTTTGCTGATGTTGCTGAGGTGAAGGAAAAAAACGACGGAGGCGCTGTCAAGCATCTCAAAAGATGAATTTAGACAATGTTTTGAAAAATGGAATAAAAGACTAGACAAGTGTATTAGTGTAAGTGGAGAGTACTTTGAAGGGGATTGAAGGTTTGTGCTTAAAATTTGAATAAATAACTTAAAAAAAAAATAAATTCGGTTTCTTTTGGGTACCCCCTCGCAGTCAAGAAACATTGGCATATAATTTCTTTCCTACACTTGAAGTTCATATGGAACATGAATATTTACACATGAAACAAGAGCAGCTTTGAAAACGGAAAATGACGACTTGGCAGTTCTAGGGTTAAGGACAAAGAGTCCGATGACGAAAGAAATGTAAGAAGCTATTTACATAACACGGAAACAGAAGATTGTGGCAAGAAAATATATGCATTGAGTTTATAACAGCTTGAACTAGAAGCTTAATTAATTTTAGTGTAGATAACAGTCACAGTGAAGAGGTGTGCAAGCAGTGCATAGAGGTAACGTTTAATTTTGCACGAACAGTTTATCTAGTTTATACAAGGGAAGTGTTGGGGCGATAACGTGCGGTCCCTTGATTTTCTATTGCTCGTTTAAAGTTCTTGTCTGTGTACATATGCACTCTTGTCAGGTGAAATTAATAGATCTTGAGGTTACCTCCGTACAATCTCAAAATAAACCCCAACTTACAAGAACATACGTCATTAAAGGTTAGTGTAGATTACAGCTGTACTGAGCGGTAACGTAATCTGCCCACATGCACCTGTGTCTAGAAACGTTTTATTGTACATGAACACACAAATAAAACAAACTCCTTGGCATTTAGTCCGCAAGCTAACTATACCGACCGAGCGACCGCCACTTGTCGGCAAAGTTTAGTGCCAACTTTTGCAGATAGAGGGTGTCGCGTGGTCAGCTCAACGAATCCTCACGGCCGTTAATTTCGGTTTTCTAGACCTGAGCCGCTATTTCTTTGAAATAGCTCCTCAGTTATCCTCACGAAGTTGAGTGGACCCCGTTCCAGACCCACTACTTTCAAAAAAATACGAGTATTGTAGCGCCGGGAATCGAACCCGGACCCCTGGATCTGTAGCCAGGAACTCTGACCACTAGACCACACAGGCGGTCTGTTGTACATGAACACTTAAAATAATTATATGAATTAAATTTTAAGAAGTATCCGAATTTATTTAAATAACAAACTTTTCTTATATACAGCACTTACAAGCTATATAATACCATAATAGAATATAGCAATATATGAAATCCGTTGCCAGCATACGACTAGTAAAGACCGAGAACCCTAGTGCGTGTGTAACGATCAATTCTAAAGTGTGTAGATCAGCGATAACGCTGTATTGCCTGTAGTCCAGAGTTGAATGTATTGCCAATAAAACCAATCATCCAATTAAAAACCCGTCTATAAGTCACGCACCACCTACACATGACAGTATTCTTAGAGCTCGTTTAATACCCGACCTCTTAAGGCCTCAGCCCCTTTCAGTAAGCGCGTTCCATGAGCTGTATGTTGTTCATTTCTGCATTTGAAATTGTGAAGCTTTGTTAGATAACGAGAGGGGTTTCATGTGAAGCTGTAAGTACTTGTCGGACTGCCCTGGTACTATTCTTTGTAGCACTACACCTCTGGCCATATGTCATCATGTGGCTGGCTCCACAATCCCAAAATTCTCAAAGCAGGGTAAATAAACTGGATGAAATGTACATGAAATACGATTATGCAGTGGTCTGTTTCAGTTGAACCTCAGTAAAGGCGAAAAAGCTAAAGTCATCCCTGTAATAGTCCGTGGAGGCTCATAGGATTGTGAGACGTCGAGTCTCCCACATTTTCTAGACAGTCGGCTCACAGATGGCGGTGAGGTGAAAAAGTTCAGATAATTATATTTGTTACAAGAAGTTTATGGGCATGCGATAGCGTAGTTGGTTGAGGCACTCCAATATCTACCTGACGATTTCAACGCAAATGTTATACTGTGGGTACTCGTGCCATTAAACGAGCTAGCTCAGTCAATATAGTGAGTAGGCTGCGGGCTGGACAACATACCAATCGGATTTCAGTTCCTGGTAGAGACAAAAGTTTTGTCTCTTCTTCATAGCTTATAAAATGACTCCAGACTGCTATAAAATAGACAGTAGGGGCCCTTGCCCCTGGGGAAAATTAGCCAGGGCATGAGCCTCTGACTAATGTCCAGGTTAAGAATTTCCGGAGCTCTGCCTCCTCTCCCTTATACTTCTTCACGTCGTGGTACCTAATTAAGCACAGGTACGCGTTACCTTTTTTAACTCCATTAATGCCATTGAAACTGAGCAGTTGTAATTTAAGTCTCAAGTTTGTTTTGCCGTGGTCGTATAAAAATATTTCGAGGGACATTGTGCATTGTCCTACATTTTCAATGCCACATCGTTTTCGAAACCGGTTCTGTTTATTCTCTTCAGATCAAAGAATAACGCAACGAATTTCGTTGGGCCCTTTGACAGACCTAGTGTCAAACCTAAACTGTAACTTTAAGTAGTCAAAATTTGAAAAGATATCCAATATACAAGTTAAGACGGCATTCAATTTGTGAGATTTGACATTCTCGCTTTGATGATTTAATATCTTGTAGGATTTGACGCTGTGCAGTCTGGTAGACGTTTATCGACGCTTTAGAGGAACTTATTATTAGAGACTGAGATTGATTGTCTTTGTTACTTATTGGATTTTATGTTCTTCCTTCAAGATGGAGGCAGCACGTTCCTCCGAAATCTCAGAAAAATCAATAAACTTTACATTCCAGAACAGACTGATCTTCATATTTAATTTATTTTCGTGATTGCAGCTGTAAACGGGTTGATAACATTGGCCGCTGTTAATGAGTATGTTCTGTTCCCAGATCGCGTGTCGACTCTGGAACCTGAGCATTATAAGCGTGCTCATCCTCACCTTCTCCAACATCCTTCTGATCGTACGGCTTCTCCACTCCACGGACTGCTCTCGACAGCAACCATCAGCATCAGAACCATTGCATCTGCAGCAGCCACAGGTTCAAGACAGTCGAACTTCAAAACAGAGCCACGAATCGCCACCTCAGTCCGCACCTTGCAAACAAGTGAACTCGACAGCTGGACCATCATTCACTGTGTCCACCACCAACACAACAATATTTCATGTTGACCTACAACTTGGACGTTGGGATTCCAGACATCTCTACAAACTTTTTGATTTTGCACTTCCTGGAGATCAGTATGCCGAACTCTCTGAGAAGTATTCGGTATGCCTTGCGACTCAGAGTTCACTAGAGAAGCTCCAATCCCTGGTGCAAGTGGCGCATCATTGGTCCGGTCCAATATCTGCAGCTGTGTTTGCGGCAGGCGATGAATATCCACTGCTCCAGCTCTACATTGCTTTCTTGAGACGTTGTTTTCCTGTCGTGCGTGATCGCGTTAGCTTCCATCTAGCATATCCCAAAGATCGTCCGCCTGCAAAAGTTCGTCCAGATTTTCCACTGAAACCTAAATTAGACTGTCGTAGACCAGAAGCAGCATTAGCAAATTTAGTGCGTCTTCGTAAACCGGAAACGGTAAAGTGGAGAATGAAGGCTGCATATCCGCAAAATCATTTGCGCAACCTAGCGCGACGAAATTGCCAGAATCCATACGTCTTCCTCACTGACGTTGATATAATTCCAAGTGCAAAGTTGGCCGATGGGCTTGATGTGTTCCTCAAGGATGCCAAGTGTAAAGGTTTGTGTGCCTACGTAATTCCAACCTACGAACTGGATGAGAGAGTGCACTTCCCGCGGAATAAAACAGACCTCATCCGGTTGGCCAGGAAAGGATTGGCCAGGCCATTCCACCACAAGGTGTTCATATACAATCAGTTTGCGACGAATTTCTCTAGGTAAGTGTCGAAATCCTTCTCCTGAACAAGAACGAAATGCAATGTCCTACAACATATTAAATATAATTGTTCCATCAAAACAATAAGCTAATACAAAAAGGTAAAGTTGTCCTTGTGCTTAATTAGATAAGGACTATGCCATGAAGACATAAAGAGGATTTGAAGTGGAGACACAGTTTCACTTCTCATGACCTCGGCACTAGATTGAGATGAGTGAAACAATATTGTAGTGTATAGACCCGTTACTAAACGGTAACTCTGTAAACAATAGCTGTTACTCGGTATATACACGCAATCAACAATAGAACAACGGTGATGCAACAACAGAGTGATTGATGGAAACGGTGTTTTCTCTTGGGTCCGCCCCGAAGCTATATAACGAGGACCCCAGGCCAGCTGAGTTGGGAATTGAGAGAGTAATTTGAGGTTTGGTAGTTCAGTCGAGTTCTGCAAGGGAGGCTGAGAAGACATGGCACTATATTTCGGTTAGGGCCGCGCCATAGCTCAAGCGATTAGTCGCTGGCTTCCCACCGTGGCGGCCCGGATTCGATCCCGGGTCTGGTCAAGTGGGATTTGTGGTGGACAAAGTGGCGGTGGGGCAGGGTTTCTCTAGTACTTCGGTTTCCTCTGCCAATCTTCATTCCACCAATTGCTCCACCATCACCCTCACCTGTCATCTGGGGTGGGTACAATACCCCAGAAGTGGCCGCAGTACAAGGGACTTAGTGCCACCCCGCTAGCAATAAGAAAAATATTTCGGTTAGCGGGGAGTTGAGAGAGTTCAGTTGCGGGATATTCGCCGGACAGAAGGGAAGCTGAAGCATCTCAACTGTTAACATCCATTACCAGGAAACGTCTAGTGAAGACACTGCAGGCTGGAGAAAATTTAGTGTTTCTAGCAGTGATTTGTATCGTGTGGAGATCAGCGATGGCGCTAGAATTGCTTGTAATACCGGGTGGTGTGTATAGGTGGTCAGTAAATTCAATACTCAGTCTGTGCCCCGTCTGTAGTCACACCCCTTAATCGTGACAATATATACACCATAATAACGGTGTATGGAAGCTGAAGAGCTAGTCGGTATAGCGATCAGGTTATGGGCTGGTCAGTCGAGGGGTTAGGGTTCAATTCCTGGCAAGGGAAAAGATGTTTTTCTTCTCCATAACGTCCATACCATCTCAGGGGCCCACGTATCCTCCTATACAATGTGTACCGGGGGCTGTTACTACAAGGGGCAAAGCGGCAAGGTCACGAAGCTGACCACTCACGTGTAGTGCCGAGGTCGCCCATAGGTCTTCATGCTGACGCTGTCAGCAGTTGAATATATTGTCACATGATGGAGCGCCTATAGACTGGTTTTAGATTGATGATTGAATTTATTGGGCTGTTTGATAAAGCGCGTTACTACGCTTTACAATTCACAATTACAAACACGCATAGTGAAGACGTGACGTCTTCACTGGCCTTTGATTGGTAGCGGCTTCCAACAGCGCACGTTCCTCTTCCTCTAGGTTTCGGAACTTTCCCCCAGCCTCAGCTACCGTCTTCTAACAGCAATAGCTCACAACGACTGAGCCTCACCAGCCCTCTAACTAACTCACCGACTACCTCAGTCACTCACCAACCAAATAACTCATCACTCACTAACTATCCTGTTTATTACATCTCGGCATGGACCGAACAGAAAATACCGTTTGCGGGCCGTTGCACAGTAACGGCCCTTGTCTAGTTTGTTTCACGGTCGTTGCCTATCAACGGGTCCCCATGCCACAATATGCAGCGTACGACGATCAGTGAATAATGAGTAAGAATGTATGTAGATGATACCGGTCTCAGTGTCGTTTAAGGTTCTGTGATTAGAGTGACTGAGGAAACTCACGTGGTACCTCAGTCAGGGTAGTTGAACCGATCATATTACGGAGTCTGTTATGCGCATTACTACTTGAGCAGAGCAGAGCAGCGTATGACATGACACGATGTGATTTATCCACGCAAACAAATGTTGAGGTTGTAGTTTGGACGCTCCTCTCCGCGTTTCTTCCAAATAATTATTCACTGATGTCGTCATTCGGCTGTGTTTAGTCTGTCTTACGGAGCCGATAAGCAAACAACAGAAACATGGCAAAGCCTAATATTATATGATTCGTAGTATCATACATAATTAGTATAACCTAATATAAAATTGCCGGTCACTGTAGCCGAGCGGTCTAAGGCATTTACTGTCTTCGCTCGCTTGGAAACCGGGATCGTGGGTTCGAATCCCACTCAGGGCATTAATGTTTAGTTTGTGTGTGTGTGTGTGTGTGCGTTTTTCTGTGTTTGTGTACAGGTAGAAGCCTTGCGACGAGCTGATCAACCGCCCAAGGAGTCCTACCGAATGTATAAGATCTAGAAAAACCGAAGTGAACGGAGAAGTTCATGGAGGTAGGCTTAGGCCCACTGGGGCTGTAGAGCCAAGGGGAAAAAAATATAAAATTGCCGTTCATGGTGGCCGTGCAGTCTAAGGCATGAACTGTCTTCGCTCTCTCGAACACTGGGATCGTGGGTACAAATCCCACTGAAAGCATGAATGTCTGTTTATGTTTATTGTGTCTGTGTTAGATAGCGGCCTTGCGACGAGCTTGTCCCCCGTCCAAGGATAAGATTAAGAAAATGAAGTAAAACAAATCGTTTCACGGATGGTGAGTGCTCCAAAGTTAGAGCAACAGGTATGGAAGAAGAAGAATATAACATTAACATATCATAATGGGATACGGGATAGCATATTCGGTGTAGCGACTGGCTACGGGCTGGACGGCCGAGGGGTCGGAGTTCAAGTACCGGTGGGGGTAAGAAATTTCACTTCTCCACGTCCAGATCGGTCGTCTAGACCGACTCTGGGGTTCACCCAATCTCCTATCCAATGGTTACAGGGGGCTCTTTCCGAGGGTTAAAGTAGCCGGGGCATGAAGCTGACGACTCACCTCCGACTAGTGCCGATGTCAAGAAAATGTGGATCTATACATCCACTCCCCCGTACACCTTCATGGCATAGTGCTTAGTTAAGCGCAGGGACAACTTTGTATTTTACTACACCATGGCTTAATAGAAGGTCACTAAAAGCCACCAGATGATAGAGTTCGCAGTGTGAAAATTTGCAGTTTTATAATTTTAATGCGTGTTCTATAAAACAGACGAGAGGATAAAACCAACACTGAATAACAGCAAGCATTCCACGACAAGTATTGGTAAAATAATATTCAATTTCAACAAACAAATATTGTCATTAATAACAAAGGAAGGACGAAACAAAGCATACCTGTGGATCAAATTTAGGTTCGGAATTAATTTTTCCCCGATGTTTCGTCTGAGGTAACGTATTTTGAAGTGCTCATTTGGACGGAAGTTACGGGAGATTGTATTCCATTTGATCCATAAAGAGTTAAATACAAATCCATCGAGTGGAAATTAAAGAAGACCGGAATGCAAAACATGATTAAATTACCGCACATTTTATTTTCTCTTTGAGTCGATTTTATATTTAATTTTATGAATGGTTTTTGTTTTCAGTTTAGGAATATAAAATGGAATTCAAATTGTCCTTAGACTTCGTGGGACAGAGGGTCACACGATAACCGGGTAAAGCCAGTGATATTGGTAGTTAGGAATATTACTTCAGTTGACATCCATACATAGCCATAAGACAGCTGCAGGAGCCGGACGGGTTGCATAAACTATAGAAACGAAAGTCTCGCGGTTACGTAGTTAACAGAGACAGCCTAAGGTAAAGCTAAATTTGCCACTGTGCTTAACTAAGCACTACACCATGATGGCGTATGAGGGAGTGGATGTATAGATCTAAGTTTTCTCGACCTCGTCTCTAGTTAGATGTGAATGGTCAGCTTCACGCCACGGCCGCTTTATCCCAAGTGAAAGAGTTCCCAGTACTCATTGGATAAGAGGCTGGGTGGGACACAGAACCGGCCTAGACTCTGTGGAGGGGGGAAGAATTTGTTTCCCACGTCGGGAGTCGAACCTCGTCGGTGACAGACCAGAGTTGAAGAAAACCAACTGTGGATTCAGTTTAATAATAATCTTACTGTACAGACGAATCACAAGGGTAGCGTTCAGATCAAGTTGGCTCAAGCCATAATGCTTTTGAATTTTGTTCTAGAAGCACGCGATTCGAATCTAAACTGGGACACCGACTATCTAGACTACTTCTTGGTTTTCCTCAGCCCATCTAGGTATATACAGGGCGAGTATCATGAATTAGGCAACGAACATTTTCCCTCACACCCTTTCCAATTTATTAGCCACTATTATCAATTTATTCCCCGTGTTCATGCGGGTTAGAATACCTGGACCATAGCTCTGCAAGTTCATAGAAGGCGATGAAAAGGGAACCCATTGCCTGAGGGTATAGTTAGTTATTTAGAGAGGGTGGGTTTCCCCATGCACCGCGACCAGTTTGATCTATTGTGCTTCCCTCTATGATATTCTACCAGTCTCTATACCCTACCGATAAATGGTGCGTACCATCAGTCCCGCCGAGCAAGCGAGTTCGGCCACTTGCTTAGCGGTGTCTGTAAATGCCTCCCTCATCTATCAGAGGCCTTAGAGACTTTTGTTGGGCGGAAACGTCCTGGAATTTGGCTCAGTGATCCCCTTTGGGGATATGAGGTTCTTTTACGTGCCGTAAAGTTACGACACGGGACACACAGCTTAAGTCCCTCCCGGAGGACTTGTTCCCTGAATTTTTCCGCCCTTAAAAATTCGACGACCTCCGCCGGGTATTTGAACCCGCGTACTACGAGTCATGAGGTGGGAACGTTACTTCTAGACTACGGAGGCCGCTGCCTGAGGGTATAACTGAGCCACCCTGTTCTTGGGGGATATAAATACAAGGACCTGGTCCTCCAGGTTGGGGGTTGGATGCGTGGTTGACGACTTTGTTCCGTAAAAATAAATTATTATTGCGAAATCAAAGAAGTGAAACCCGGATACAATCTTGCAGAATCTTCTAAGGAAGGCTGTGGCTCAAAAGGGGTTGTTTTGTCAATGATCATGATGATGATATTTATCAATTTATTCGACATTTTATAGTGGGAGTTACCGACACCATCTTGTAAATAAACTAGACAGCGATGCAGTGTGCCCCAGACGTAAAGCACGGAGATTCAATGTGATGCTGAGGGTGACTGGGAATGGCAAAAGAAAACCATTTATTTCCAGTATCAATGAAGAACCCAGATGGACTAAACTAATCCAGATACGGAGTACTATCTTCTGGGATGTGGCGCCATATAGTCCGCTAGATTTTCACTGACTTGATGTTCAGGATCGAAGCCTCTTTACTTCCCATCTGATTTCACGCTGGATTCTTGCTTGGTTTATTTTTCGACCCTGAAGATGGTGGCAACATGTTCTCCGAACGGTCAGTTGACTTTCAATGGACTGGACGGTGTTATAGGATGGTATGGATTGGATTGATCTGGCTCAGGATAGGAACCAGTGAAAGGCTCTTGTGAACACGGTAATGAACTTTCGGGTTCCATAAAATGTTGGGAAGTTCTTGAGTAGCTGCAGATTTGGCTTCTCGAGATAGGCTCAGCTCCATAAGTAAGTAAGTAAGTAAGTAAGTAAGTAAGTAAGTAAGACGGTGTTAAGGCCGCGCCATAGCTCAAGCGGTTAGGCGTTGGCTTCCCACCGCGGCGGCCCGGGTTCGAGCCCGGGGTCTGGTCAAGTGGGATTTGTGGTGGACAAAATGGCGCTGGGGCAGATTTCCTCCGAGTACTTCGGTTTCCCCTGCCAATATTCATTCCACCAAATTCTCCATCATCATAATCACCCGGGGCAGGTACAGTAGGCAAATCAGTGGCCGACGTGCTGAGTGGACCCAGCTTGACTCCACGCCCCCCTCACTATGGGAATTAAAAAAGAATAGGTAAGTAGGTCTGGAAAGGAGTTCAGCGAGAATAAATTAGAGTAAGGAGTATGCTAATTAGTGGTTCAGGGAAAACACAAGTTCCTCCTTTCCTTACACCTATTTGTTCTTCCTGGACTCATTATCAGGCTCACCTCGCTCTGCTTACTACTTGCCTGTCGCTGGTTGCTTGGTTAACCATTCGACCCTGANAGATATGATTTATCAGGTTTCAAGTATGTTGGATCTGTGATTCTCACAGCATTTACTATGAAGTGTAGTTCTAATATATTTTCTAATATGATGTCGTGCAGTCCGTAGAAGTTCATCGAAGTTTCGGAGGAACATGTTGTTTCCATCTTCAGTATAGAAGAGAAAGCCAAGCAAGCAGAACGAGCCGAGCGAAAAAATATTTTTCTTATGAAGGCCTGTAAAGCTTACAGTGGCCGAGCGGGCTAAGGCATGAAATGTCTTCGCCCGCTCAAACACCGAGATCATGTGTTCGAATCCCACTTGAGGAGTGGATGTCTATGTGCGCTTATTCTACGTTTGTGCTGTCGTGTATGCAGGTAATGGCCGCGCGACGGGCTGATCCCCCGTCCAAGGAGTCCTACCGACCGTGTGAAAGCTCAAGAAACAAAAGAAAAATCGGCCAAGGTCCAACAAAGGGCTCTAGAGCCATAGATAGATAGATAGATAGATAGATAGGCAGCGTCATAGCTCAAATGGTTAGTCGCTGGCTTCCCACCGCGGCGGCCCGGGTTCGAGCCCGGGGTCTGGTCAAGTGGGATTTGTGGTGGACAAAATGGCGCTGGGGCAGATTTCCTCCGAGTACTTCGGTTTCCCCTGCCAATATTCATTCCACCAAATTCTCCATCATCATAATCACCCGGGGCAGGTACAGTAGGCAAATCAGTGGCCGACGTGCTGAGTGGACCCAGCTTGACTCCACGCCCCCCTCACTATGGGAATTAAAAAAGAATAGGTAAGTAGGTCTGGAAAGGAGTTCAGCGAGAATAAATTAGAGTAAGGAGTATGCTAATTAGTGGTTCAGGGAAAACACAAGTTCCTCCTTTCCTTACACCTATTTGTTCTTCCTGGACTCATTATCAGGCTCACCTCGCTCTGCTTACTACTTGCCTGTCGCTGGTTGCTTGGTTAACCATTCGACCCTGACAATGTAGGCAATTCGTTGCTCCGAAGCTCGGAGGACTTCTGTGGGACTACAAGACCTCATGATAGTTAAGCATCCTTCTCAAGTTCCATGTAGTTCCGAATACAGCGCTGTAATGTGCTTGTGTTTTGCGTTTTGTCTCACAGATGGCAGGCGAGTGCAGGGAAGGAAGGAGAGGCCGTGCACGTGAATCATAACGTGACCAACTTCGAGTTCTTATATGAGCCGTTCTACGTAGCACCTGACACCGTCCCAGCCCACGACGAGCGCTTCATTGGCTACGGGTACACCCGAAACACACAGGTGAACTGTCACATATAGCTTCAAACTTATCAACTCATTATACAGGGTGTACTATTTAAAACGCAACACAAGTAAGCGCAAGTAAGTTTACGGGTGAAATCAGTATTTGTATTTTATTGCCAAGCCGGTCACGGTAGCCGAGCGGTCTAAGGCATGCACTGTCTTCGCTCGCAAGGAAGCCGAGATCATTGGTTCGAATCCCACTCAGAGCATGGATGTTTGTGTGCGTTTTTCTGTGTTTGTCTACAGGTAGAGGCCTTGCGACGAGCTGATCACTCGCCCAAGGAGTCCTACCGAATGTGTAAGATCTAGTAAACCGAAGTGAAACGGAGAGTTTCATGGAGGTAGGCCTAGGCCCAAATTGGGGCTGTAGCGCCAGAGAAAAAAAATTATTGCTAAATGTTTCTCGAACACCATCAGACAATTTCGGTGCGTAGTACTGTGTCAGAATGAACACACATTCTACTCATGAATATACCATGCTCGCACCTGCAACGTTTCTGTGCAAAGTGGTCACAGCAGCAGCCTAGCAACCAGGGAGACAATAACTGGAATGTCACGGGGGAAATTATGAAAGTCCATTGTTACACTGGGTGAACATCTTGTGATTACATTTTTGAGCAGTAGTACGTGGTTGTTCTTGGATTTTATTCCAAACGGCACGGCCTGTATACAGGGTGTTTCACGACTTTAGGGCATAACTGCAGGAGGTGATTTCCTAGGTCTTGGTGATCAAAAAGTTCATATATACATGTGTCCGATTTTGGACGGTTACGGAGTTATGACCGTTTTTTCATTCCCGTACACGCCCTCGTGTGAACCGCGTCTGTCATCTGGCGGGTCGCTATTTTTAGCCAGCTACAGACAGAGCGTTCTCGTTATCTCGACACTTGAGAGGTACCTAAGGCGTGATGGGTTGGTATGTCCGGCGCGGTTCACAACCGAGCGGCAGCCTGTGTTGCGGCCGGCGGTGGCATTTTCGAAAATCAGGTTTAAGCACCAATAAATTCAAATTAAAGGTAATTTCACGAAGTTAACTTTACATTCATACTTTAAATGTATCATGTATTATGCTGGTTTATTATTTTGTTCCGTTTATTGTCAGTAATCGTTACCTTCTATTCTGAGTTTAAAACGGTCATAACTCCGTAACCGTCCAAAATCGGACACATGTTTATATGAACTTTTTTGATCACAAAGACCTAGGAAATCACCTCCTGCAGTTATGCCCTAAAGTCGTGAAACACTCTGTATATCAAATTACCACATCCAGAGCAGCTTCGTGGACTAGAGTTCTTAAAAACCGTGATAGGCGCACAGAATGTCAAGAAACGCTTTGAGAATGTGGAGGTTAATTGTAGAGTTCAGGATAGCCAACCACTGAACCTTACACTGAACTGGATTAATGACGGACATTATTCATTTCATGTTTTTGTTTAAAAAGAACGTATCGGAAGCCGAATTTGGCCCCGTCATCAAATACAAATGTGGTACGTTCCTCCGAAACGTCGGCAAATTTCTGTCAAACTACATAACATCACAGTCCAAAAGGTGTTTTTATTATGAAAATCCTATACAGGATCAATGCAAATATTTCCACGCTCTTATTGCTTGCCCCCCCCTTCCAGGTCAAATTCTCTTCCTAGCACTTTGCTTCGAAACACTCTGTATCTACGTATATATGCTTATTGTATTAAGTATGAGAATTGTGGATTCATTTACCGTAGGACATGGTGCAGTAGCGATGTCCTGTTGTTACCTGACGTTATATTACACCTTGATAGATCGATGCCCCCTCCAGATTTCATCGCGCCCAAAGATACGCTTTTTTGTTTTTCGGTTTTAAAATCAGCACAGTTTAGTTTGCCATCTCTTAATGAGAAATATAATTAAGTAAGTTTTACTCGATAACTTTCCCAAAATAGAGACTTCTGTCTTCTCGGTAGTCCATTGAAAGCCATGCGACGTTTCGGGGAACATGGTACCTCCATCTTCAGGGTTAAAAGAAAAGCGCCTTGGAGGTCCATAGAGTTGTGAGACGTCGAGGCTCCCACATTTTCTAGACAATCGGCTCACAGATGGTGGTGAGGTTGTCAGCCTTACGCACCGGTCTCTCTGTACCCCGAGGAAGATTCCTGGTACACATTTTTGTTAGAGGCTGAGCCGACCCCAGGGCCACAGTGCGGCTTGAAGGATTAGGCCAATTGAAAAATCCAGTTACCTCATCGAGAATCGAACCCACTACCTTCCGGCTTGTAACATAGTACTTCAACCAACTACGCTGCCACGTGCCCCGCATTAAGCAGGTGGCAAGCAAAATATCGAAACCCCTTACTAAATAGTAACCTTCCAATGGGGTGGGGGGATTACTACATTACAATGATGTTCGATTTAGTTTTGCAGTTTCAATTTTTTCATCGTCACTTGCCTGTGTATAGCTAGCTGTCCCTGTAACAGGCCGTGAAGGCCCATAGGGCTGTGAGACGTTGAGGTTCCCACATTATCTAGACAGCCGGCTCACAGATGGCGGTAAGGGTGTCAGCCTTACGCGCCGGCCGCCCTTTAACCCCCAGGAAAATTCCTGGTACTCAATTCTGTTAGAGGCTGAGTCGACCCCAGGATCATAGTGCGGCTGGAAGGATTAGGTTAATTGAAAAAATCCACCTCTTCGGTACTCGAACCCGCGATCTTCCGGCTTGTAGCATATAGGCAACCGAAATTTTGCACGGAATTTAGCAGGCACAATTGATGTGTACAATAAGGACGATGTTTCGAGATGAGAACTTGAACTGTTGCCTAACATCGCCACGGGCTGGATTTGAAACACCTGCTCTGGGAGAAGTATGTTCGTGTTCTGTGTACTGGAGCGCAAGTTTTTATTGTCTGTGTGACTAAATAACGCAAAGCACGCGGAGAGGAGCCCTAAAAGGTGTTCCCAGAGCGGCAAGTTTTATGGGTGTTGAGGCAAGCAATCAGCTTGGCTTCAGCTTTTACATCAGGCCGCAGCGGGCGTATAAATAAATCATTTACGAAAGTACAAAACCTAATCAAAGAAAAAGCAACCCCTTTTGAGAGTCCACCAAAAGAATTCTTACGAACTGGGACATGTAGTTTAATATTGATTGCTTTATCACAGACGTCGCTTCATACAAATGTAGGATGCATATATATATTTTTTATTGCTAGTGGGGTGGGACTAAGTCCCTTGTACTGAGGCCACTTCTGGCCTATTGTACCAGCCCCAGATGATAGGTGAGGGTGCTTGTGGAGCAATTGGTGGAATGAAGATCGGCAGGGGAAACCGAAGTACTCGGAGAAAACCTGCCCCAGCGCCACTTTGTCCACCACAAATCCCACTTGACCAGGCCCGGGATCGAACCCGGGCCGCCGCGGTGGAAAGCGAGCGACTAACCGCTTGAGCTATGGCGCGGTGCATATATATTTGGAAATTATAGCATACATTCTATATAATATTGCGGCATGACGCCCGAAAGCCGGTATAGAGAAGTCAGAATAGACGTTTATTTCTAGACAACGATTCGGTAAACACATTCCCGTGACAACGATACGTAAGCAACGGCTATGCAACTGCTCTCTAAACACACCTTCCCAACAATAGAGAGGCTGTGTTTTCTGCGTGGTCCCTGCAAAATGGTTATAAAGAACAGTTCGGTTGAATAGAACTTTGAACCCGAACGGAGGCTGGGTCGAATACCTCCGCTGTGGCCCTGCGAGTCGTAGGAGGCGACGAAAAGGGAAGTCTCAAATCTGAGACAGTAAAATATGGTCGCGAGTCCCAAGTGACTCGGACCCGAGAAAGGCTGCGCTGGCAAGGGCCAGCAGCATGTACAAAAGACAGACCCGTCCTCTTGTCAGAGAGGGCGCCCCACAAAAAGAAGACCGTAACTGTCAAACAGTAATAAATATCTGGTCATGAGCCCCAGATGGGACTCGACACCAAGACTTACTGACTGAATGACTGGCCGTCAGTCACAATGTGACTTTGACTTTGACTTCGAGAAGAATTGAGTCCTGTTTCGAGACGCCAGAGTGCCAGGATATGTGCTTAGGAGCAGAGGGATTGAGTGAGTCGAGTCTTCGGAATTGGCAGTTGCAGAATACTTGTAGTGGTAAGAGAGAATGTAGGCGTTGCAACGAAGAGTTCATGTGTGCTTTAAAGACCTAAAAGCAATCATACCAAACCCACTAACTTCCTTCCCAGGCTTCCGAAACGTCATATCCTTTCAGGACATTATATAATGTGCGAAGTCTAGAAACTCGGCAATCCCAATTGCGGAACTTGGCCGGATCATCACCGAGAATTTTCGTAGTTTTCTTCAGTTTCTCGAGGCTGTTCCTGTGACTGTACCTTAAAATAGGTTACACTCCTGTCCGAATCCTTACGTATACTCCGCTGAGTAGGAAATTGTCACTTTCCGAAAATGCAGTATTTCTGATTTCACTGGTCTTAGAGGGTTATTTTGCAGCCGGGATGGCTCAGTCGATGTAACGATGGGCTACGAGCTGAGCGGTAAGTGGTTTGATTCCCGGCAAGGGAAAGGGATTTTCTCTACTCCACAACGTACAGACCGACTCTGAGGCCCACAGAGCCTACTATACAACAGGTACTGGGGACTGTTTCCCCTGGAGGTAAAGTGGTCGGGGCGTGAAGCTGACCACTCACCTCCATCTCGTGCCGAGGTCAAGAATGTTGCAGCTATACCACCACACCCGTGTGTCTTCACGGTATTGTACTTAATTAATTAAGCACGGGCACAGCGTTACTTTTACACGACACTATATTCCAAAAGACGGATCCCTTAAAGTTAGAAATTGTATGCAGGGGTGCACGGAATTTTGGCGTCTTCGCTTTCTTACTGTCTCCATATTATCCGTTAATGAATGCAAAATTTGGTTTTCACCCAAAATTAACTCCATGCATCAGAGTCCTTCTTGGTAAGCTAACAGATCTTCAGATATTCATGCACGTGCTTGCGCTT